GTTTCTCCACTACCAGGTCCATTACAAATGAATGGTTTGCAGAACACGGAAGACCTATTGGCATGCGAAGTGTTTACCGACGAATAAGAAGTTTTGGCTTGTTTTCATACCGGCCACACTGGGTCCTCCCTTTAACTCGAGAACACCGACGTAATCGCCTTGAGTGGTGCAGACAACGGTCACTCTGGGATCAGGAATGGAACAGTATTGTCTTTAGTGACGAGTCTCGATTTTGTTTAGGCATGCACGATGGTCGTGCCAGGGTTAGAAGGCGACGTGGTGAAAGGAGGAATCCACAGTTTTTTGTTGAAATACATGTTCATCACACTGTTGGAGTTATGGTTTGGGGTGCTATAGCTTATGGTTCCAGGTCACCTTTAATCTTCATCAGAGGTAACATCAACGCGCAGCGTTATATCCACGAAGTTCTAGAACCCCATCTTTTACCCTATCTTGACACCCTGGCAGATCCAACTTTCCAACAAGATAATGCCCGACCACATGTTGCAAGAGTCACAATAGACTTCTTTCAACATAGTGATGTCACATTGTTACCATGGCCACCAAGATCTCCCAATTGAGCACGTGTGGGATATGATGGGTAGGAGATTGCTCAATTTGCAACGTCCTCCTCAGACTCTAGAAGCACTTCGAGAGGAGTTGGTGGTTGCCTGGAATGAGATACCACAGGAGGACATTGACCACCTAATCAGAAGCATGCCTAGGCGCGTTGGAGAATGCGTAGCACATCAGGGTGCATCCACACATTATTAAAGGTCAAAGGGCTTTAAAACAGTGCAATCATTTTGAAATTTTTATCATTTACTTATTATGCTTCATTAAGTACTTATACAAAATTTTATTAGAATAAAACCTTTTAAACTGGGTGTTCGGATGTATATGTCACTTAGTATATTTGAACGAAAAATTTTCCATTTTTTAAAAAACTCGACTTGACCTTCAAATGACCTTGAAGGCCATGGTTAAGTTGAAATATCATGTTGGGATAAAAGAATTCTTTATTCTAAAAGAACAAAAAAAAGTCAAATGGTTTTTTAAAATGCTTTCAGTACCCATCTGCCGCCGTGTCAGGGACTTTTCGTCATGTACGCTCAGACTATATCAGTAACCTGAATCCAATTTTTCGTCCATTATAGACTTTTGCAAGATTTTTTGAACATCTTATGTTCCCTTACCGGGCTATATAGCACCCCCGCCCCCAAATCATTTCCCCAATTTCCTCTAGGCTCATTACAGACCCTACATATTGGCTGGAACAATCTAATATAAAGAAAACGATGAAGAATCTTCACCAAAACATGAAACATGTTGAATGATTATAATGAAATACCTACATCCGCATATATTATAGATAGATCTATTCCGCGACGCATGAAATTTTAATAAAAGATAGGGTTTATTAATATCGATGACCTGTCAGTATAAACGTATGTATACGTTCGACACTGCGCTGTTCAGGAGACTACACTCTTATACTTATTATAATGATCTAATCATCATCGGACAATATACAGATATACGTACGGCGTACAGCGTAATAGTCCAGAGGCCATCCGTGTTTTTCTTAGTCAGAGGAAAGCTTTTATTGCAAACAAAAAGGATTCTTTCGCGAGTCCTTGGTGTAGCACAGTGCAGTATAAGGAGCTGATTCTCAAATTTACTCGAAGAACGGTGTGACGTCATCCAAATGTAAAAAATCACGTGGTACGGTTAATGGGGGTCCTACACGATGCTTCCAACGTTGTATACAACGTTCGACACCCCACATTTGGCAAGTGAGTCTCCTACGCGATGGGATGAACTTTTTAGTCTCGGTCGTTCGACGCATGGTGGTGGCAGTGATGCGCTTGAACCTTTACAACTGAAGGAAAAATTATACAAAATAAACGAGGAAACAAAACAGGTCTGTCCTCAGCGACCAATACTCAAGTCTGTCACAAGCCTCAAATATGTCGAAAAACGAAATTTGACCGTTTTTTGTTTGTTTTTCGACGATGGTTTCACCGCCACTGTACCGATTTTCAAAAACTGCAGAGCTTTTTCGTCATTTTCGTAGTCGTAACCAAGGGTCAAAATTTCATCAAAATCCTGATAGTACTTTCAGAGTTATTATTTATTTAATCTTTTTTGTTAGTTGAGATGGAAGTCAATATATTTCTCAACTAGTCTTGCATTGCGACAGGGCATTATAATGAAACAACTGTGAGCACTTGCTAATTTATAATTTACTAAAATACATATCCTTAGGCCAGCCATAACTCACCTGCGAAACGTACAAAATATCAGCAATATGAAAAAAGTGTTGTTATGACAGCCTATGCCTTGTATGTATACTAATTTAATCCATTCCTCTCAAAAGTCAGTTACGGAACATACAGTATTATTAATAGGTAGGTATTCAAATCAAAATACTTCCCACATACCACTACTTCACCCCAATCACAACAAACAAATAAATGCTTGTCGCCGCTACTGGTTCTAACCTAAAACCATCAAACACATGACATCTCGTGTGGGAGCTTTACGAACCATGCTTCCAACGTTGCAACGTCCTTTGACGCGGGTCAAATTTACCGACAAGAGCCCGAACGTGCCATGTGGCGAACGTTGGACACAGGATGTGGCGAATGGCCATGTGTCCAACGTTGTAAGGCATTCGCCACATCGTGTGGGAGCGGTTTAACCGCCTAACGTAGGTCAATGTCAATGTCTAGCGTCAATGTCAATGTCATTAACGAAAACAGACATCTCAATCGAATATTTGTCTTCGCGGTACCGGAAATTGATTGAAAAAAATTATTAAATCATAAATCAAGAAAATTTAGGAAGAGATCCGCCTGATTTTAAATGACAAGGGACCAGACTATGAGGTCATCGTAGATATATGATCACACATGTCATATCAAACGGGAGTTTTTATTGATAGATATATTGCATGAGAAACGATCTGCCTTTTTATTCCAGATTCAAAGTTCATCAAAAGCTTAAAGCAAAACTTTTGGGTAGCATGCGCCACCTAAATACTCCCGGTGTAATTTTAAACTGTCAAAACAAAATTCCATCTGCCCCCGCCACATTCGCTACGGGATCGAAATAATCTTTTATTATTTGAGTTTTAGTAGGTTTTTGTTATGTTTTTTGTGAACAGGTCATTCACGATGTTTATTCGTCTATTGAGCCTCACATCTATCAATTTTACCGGTATTATCAAAGTTGTTAGAAAAAATAAGAAACTCGCATTTAAAAGGTTCAATATACTGGCACAATACCAGTCAAGATGTCGAGAAGGTTTCAGTTGTACAGATGAAATCTTATCGGACATAGATCAAGGAAAATATAAAGCTCTCATTCTTCTAGGCTAAAGCATTTGATACTCCAAATCATCAACTTTTATTTTCTACAGGGTTGTCCAATAGGGACGCAATAAAGTAAACGTCAATTTGACATAGACGCCATCTTTGTTTTCTGTCACCTACATGTCATTTTGTTAGTTGAATGTTTACCATTGATCGCTATGGAGTCGTATTCGATCGAAGACCGCATTAAAGTTATTCAAGAGCACTACAAAAATGGTGCAAAAATAAAAACACGTTGCGCGCGCTTCGTGAACATTTCGGTCGCAACAACCGCCCAAACGAAACAACCATCGGTCGTCTGGTGCGTAAATTCGAGGCAACAGGTTCTGTGGCAAATCTGCCAGGCTCTGGCCGGCCAAGGAGCGTTCGCACACCGGAAAATATTGCTGTTGTGAAGGAGAGTGTGAGAGACGATCCGAAACAATCAACAACGCGTCGATCCCAAGAATTGGGCATTTCGAGAACCATTCTCCACAAGGATTTGAATGTACACGCCTACAAGATCCAAGTGACGCAAGAGCTGCGTCGGGCCGACCATTTTTCGCGCCGAACGTTCTCAGATTGGCTCCTTGAACACCGCCAAATTGATGCCAATTTTTCATCAAAAATCATGTTCAGCGACGAAGCGCATTTCACTTTGAATGGGACGGTAAACAAGCAAAACTGCCGCATCTGGGCGAACGAAAATCCCCGTGAGTATCAAGAGCAGCCGATGCATCCTCAAAAAGTGACTGTGTGGTGTGCATTGTGGTCAAAAGGCATCATCGGACCTTACTTTTTCGAAAATGCGACCAGGGACGCCGTTACCGTCAATTCTGAGCGATATCACGTGATGATAGAGGACTATTTTTTGCCGCAACTTGAAGGAATGGACATGGACGATGTACATTTCTAACAAGATGGTTCAACATGCCACACAACCAACGTCAATATCCATCGATTGCAATCCTTCTTCGGTGATCGCGTGATTTCGCGCAGAGGAAATGTGCCATGGCCACAAGATTGTGCGATTTGACTCCCTTGGACTTCTTTTTATGGGGATATTTGAAAAGCAAAGTCTACGTCAACAAACCAGCCACCCTCCAAGAACTCAAAAACAACATCATTGCCGAGATAAATGCCATAGAACCGACCCCATATATTACATTACATTTTATCGGATGTTCCTCGTCAGTTATTTATTTGTGGAAACATCTAAATGTACATCTTGTGCACGTACGATTGGTTGTGGTTTGCCACAAGGTTCAGTTTTGGGCCCTATACTTTTCTAAATATGTTCTTCTAATATGACTGAGCTTTAAATAAGTGTTCCCCTTATTTGTATGCAGACGATACACAGATAAAATGTTCACTTCCTCGACAACGAGTGGGAATGTATTGAAAACAAAAGCAAAAATCGAACAAAATGTAGCCAGCTAGATGCAAACAACAGTTTAAGGTTTGTTTCAGTTTTTCAGGTTTTAGAAAATAAAAACACAGCTGCCCGTTTAGTGGAAAACCATCTTGATATGAATGGCTCCTGGACTACAAATTTTCTGTACAGCGTAAATGAAACTACCTCAACAGCTAGCGAAATAGCGGCAGGCTAGTTGATTCAGGCCATGTTTGGAAACGAGCAATGTCATGGAAACGTCAAAGGCCAACGTGGGAGATCATCAAGATGGATATGATGGATCAGTGGCGTGGGATTGTTCAATGTATATGTCAACAAGTAGATCTACATATAAAACATTAACTAACGGATTTTTTCTGTATGAATTTTGCGAATCGTGACATCATGAGAAAAATATCTCTTGGACTTTTGGCCGTAAACGAAATGTCTAACTTCTAATTTTCATTGAATCTTTTCCAAGTTTCATGAATTCCTAGAAAATCCGGATTTTTTGCAATTATCCTGATTTTTTTTGTATCATATTATCATACTAGGGACCTGAATTACCCGCATTTCCTGAATCTTCCTTATTTTCCCCGAGTTCATCTAAATAACTTGAGTGCCCTTGAATGAATCTCTGAATTCCATGAATTATTTAAGTTTCTCGAATGTCCCAATTCCCTAATTTGAGAGATTTATTATTTCCATCATATTTAGCGTTCCAGAATATCTTGAATTTCCCAATTATCTTGATTTTTTGAATCGTTCTATGAATTTTACAAAATCTAAATAATCTCATGAATTTCAGAGTTGCCTTTATTATGGCGGTATTTTAACAGTAATAGCTTGAATTGGCCAGTACTGCGCGGTTCTGGTGGATTTCCTATATTTCCTGAGTTTTCCGAGTTTTCTGAATTTTCTAAATTTCCGGATTTTTTTAGCATTTCCTGAATTTTATTCAATTTTCACTTTACAGAGGTGGCTGAATTACTTGGATGCCCTTAATTTCCCGAACTTCCAGACTATCTTGAATCTCCCGAATTTCCAAAAGCTGCTTTAATTCCTAAGCTTAGCCTTGATTTCTTGAATTCCACCAGTTTCTAGAAGTCTCTGAATCCACTGAATTCCTCCGGTTCCCTGAATTGTATTAATGTCGTTCTATGAATTTGACGGTTTTACAAAATCTGAAAAATCTCATGAATTTCACAGGTGCCTTTATTATGACGGTATTTTAAGCTCTAATAGCTTGATTCGGTCAACAGTGGTGGATTTCCTAAATTTTCTGAATTGCCTGAATTTCACGAGTTTTCTGAATTTCCTGATTTTTGAGAATTTACTGAATTTTCTCCGTATTTTGAATTTTCAGAACTGGCTGAATTACTTGGATGCCCTTTCTTTCCCAAACTTCCAGAATTTCTTGAATCTCCTGAATTTTCATTCCTCGAATTCCCCGAATTTCTAGAAGTCTCTCTATCCCCTGAATTCCCCTGATTCCCTGAATTTGCATTAATGCCCTAATTTTATACAAATTTATGATTCCAACAATGTTCTTGATGTTTCAGAATTTCCTGGATTTGTTAAAATTACAGAGTTTTGAGAATTTCCTCAATCCTGTTTATTTCCAGACTATTTTCTTGGAGTTTCGGAATTTGTTAAATTTCCCATTTATCCTGAAGTTTTCCTACGAATTTCACGATTTCTTAAAATCCAAAAATGTTTTCCATGAATTCCCTGAATTTCTGGAAAGCCCTGAATTTCATCAATTTCTCCAGTTCCTTGAATTGCCCCCAATCCCCTAATTTGATAGAAATTTGTGATTGCCACAATTTTCTCGGTGTTCCAGAATATCTGAAATTTTGTTTCTTTTTGTATCGTTCTATGAATTTGACGGTTTTACGAAATCTTAAAAATCTCATCAATTTCACAGGTGCCTTTATTATGACGTATTTTAAGCTCTAATAGCTTGATTCGCCCAACAATGGTGGATTTTCAAAATTTTCTGAATTGGCTGAATTTCACGAGTTTTCTGAATTTCCTGATTTTTGAGAATTTTCCGAATTTTCTCCGTATTTTGACTTTTCAGAACTGGCTGAATTACTTGGATGCCCTTTATTTCCCAAACTTCCAGAATTTCTTGAATCTTCTGAATTTTCATTCCTCGAATTCCCCGAATTTCTAGAAGTCTTTCTATCCCCTGAGTTCCCTGAGTCGCATTAATGCCCTAATTTTATACAAATTTAAGATTCCAACAATTTTCTTGGAGTTTCAGAATATGTTAAATTTCCCATTTACACTGAAGTTTTCGTACCAATTTCACGATTTCTCGAAATCTAAAAATTTTTGTCATGAATTCCCTGAAAATTTATGATTCGAACAATTTTCTTGAAGTTTCAGAATTTGTTAAATTTCCCATTTATCCTGAAATTTCCTACAATTTCTCAAAATCTAAAAATGTTTGCCATGAATTCCCTGAATTTCTGAAAATCCCTGAATTTCATCAATTTCTCCAGTTCCTTGAATTGCCCGCAATCCCCTAATTTGATAGAAATTTGTGATTTCCACAATTTTCTCGGCGTTCCAGAATACCTTGACTCCCATTTTGACTATGAATTTGACGATTTTACGAAATCCGATAAATCTCATGAATTTCTCAGGTGCCTTTATTTTGGCGGTATTTCAAGCTCCAATAGCTTGATTCGGCCAACAACGGTGGATTTACTAAATTTCCTGAATTGCCTGAATTTCACGAGTATTCTGAATTTCCTAAATTTTTTGAATTTTCTGAATTTTCTTCATATTTTGACTTTCCAGAAGTGGCTGAATCACTTGGATGCCCTTTATTTCCCAAACTTCCAGAATTTCTGGATCTCCTGAATTTTCATTCCTCGAATTCTTCGAATTTCTAGAAGTCTCTCCATCTCCTGAATTCCCCCGGTTCCCTGAATTGCATTAATGCCCTAATTTTATAGAAATTTAAGATTCCAACAATTTTCTTGGAGTTTCAGAATATGTTAAATTTCCCATTTACACTGAAGTTTTCGTACCAATTTCACGATTTCTCGAGATTTAAAAATTTTTGTCATGAATTCCCTGAAAATTTATGATTCGAACAATTTTCTTGAAGTTTCAAAATTTGTTAAATTTCCCATTTATCCTGAAATTTCCTACAATTTCTCAAAATCTAAAAATGTTTGCCATGAATTCCCTGAATTTCTGAAAATCCCTGAATTTCATGAATTTCTCCAGTTCCCTGAATTGCCTGCAATCCCCTAATTTGATAGAAATTTGTGATTTCCACAATTTTCTCGGCGTTCCAGAATACCTTGACTCCCATTTTGATTATGAATTTGACGATTTTACGAAATCCGAAAAATCTCATGAATTTCTTAGGTGCCTTTATTATGGCGGTATTTCAAGCTCCAATAGCTTGATTCGGCCAACAATGGTGGATTTCCTAAATTTCCTGAGTTGCCTGAATTTCAAGAGTTTTCTGAATTTCCTAAATTTTTTGAATTTTCTGAATTTTCTTCATATTTTGACTTTCCCTTTATTTCCCAAACTTCCATAATTTCTTGAATCTCCTGAATTTTCATATCCTCGAATTCTTCGAATTTCTAGAAGTTTCCCCATCTCCTGAATTCCCCCGGTTCCCTGAATTGCATTAATACCCTAATTTTATAGAAATTTATGATTCCAGCAGTTTCAGAATTTGTTAAATTTCCCATTTATTGTGAAGTTTTCCTACGAATTTCACGATTTCTCAAAATCTAAAAATTTTGTCATGAATTCCCTGAATTTCTGGAAATCCCTGAATTTCATCAATTTCTCCAGTTCCTTGAATTGCCCCCAATCCCCTAATTTGATAGAAATTTGTGATTACCACAATTTTCTCGGCGTTCCAGAATATCTTGATTTTTTTTGTATCGTTCTGTGAATTTGACGATTTTACGAAATCTGAAAAATTTTCCTCAATTTTATGGAAACTAGTGATGTCCACAATCCCCTTGGAGTCCCCAGTCACCCGGAATTGAGGGTATTTCTCGCAAACCTCCAACCGAGGCTTATTCCGAATCGTTCGATTCTGCCTGCCGGTCCGCGGTTCTCACCTCGCGCTGCCCGTAACTTCGTCCATGACGTAATCCACGAATCCACTCTCTCAAATGTGGTGGGACAGCGAACGAAGCACATCGCGACCGCGTACGTACTCGCAGCAGAACAACGCGGTGTCCGCCGTTCTGTGTTTTCGTTTCAGTTCGGTTCCAATCCGCGAACGTCGAACATTTCGTTTGTGCTTGAATTACGTGTCGTTCCGCTTCCGCGCGACTTAAGTTCTTTTTCTGCGGGCGAAAATGTACAATCCGATAGTGACGAGCACCGTTAGTGTCAAACGTAATGTTACGTAGAAGATGCAGCCTAAGGATTGAAAGAGGTGGGTGTTAAAAGCTTGCTTGGATCAGGATAAAGCTCACTAGATAATTGCTCAAGTTAGATGAAGCTTGCCTCTGATTCGCGTTAGACGTTGAGCGTATACGTCCACCTATTTCTGCATAGATTTAGATTCTGCATGATCTGATTGAAGAAAAGAAGCAAAGCTATCTGTTCAAAGCTGGATCTAAGGTGTCGCACACGACGCACCGTGCGACGACCCCCCAGTAGGTTAGAGACCTCGCAACGCGGTTCCAGGGTCCCCAAGAGTAGAGAAAAATATGTTCTTTTTGAGAAGCATGATGCCCCTGAACACTGCACTTCTCTAATGAGAAGTCTGCTTATTCAATTACGTCTGATCTCCGGATGCCTCTACCAGCTCTCTTACTAGAGATTTGTCCCTTCAGAAGAAGCTTGCTTAGACGCTGAGCTTTTGCCCATAACGAGCTGCTTTGCCGATGACAGCACTTTACATGCAGGAAAAATTCCTTGCTTGAGGACGCACCAATCTTCTACAGTTTAATACTTCCAAAACACAGTACTGTATCTAGACTAAGAAACAGCCGTTCAGTTTGGCTGGTCGGAGTCCATATCACCGAGGATTGATCGGACACGAACGCATCTCATTAATCGCGGCAGCTGTTGGGAAACAGCTAGGTTATTGCCTCCTCGCTCTGTACAAGGCCCAAGACCCCGACTACATTGTCGATGCTCGGCGCTGTCAAAGAATACAAAGTTACCAGTGGAGGAGGCACTCGCGAAAAAGTCTTTGATCTTCTGACTTCTAAAGATGCCGACGTTTTTCTAAGAACTCGGGTCCTTTTTTTTGCGTCACTTGAAGAGGTCCCGTATACTTTATCTGAAGTCACTTGAAATAGCATAAAAACCTTTGGTCGGCGCGTCCTTTGTAATTT